TGTTATAACTATTAAACTGCACAAGCTAGAGGCTAGAAAAGGTTAAAAAAGGGGGGGTACCTAGCAAGCATACCTATTAATAGGTATACTTTGCTAGGTAGTGTTAATAACTTAGCTAATACTAGGCGGAATAAGCTAATTCTTTTTTCATTAGAAGGCGCAATACTAGGCGCTTCTATCGAATAATAGATTATGTAAGCGTATCTCTGCTAGTTAAGAAGCTATAAGCCAAAACGTAAAAAAGCATACCCTACCCATCCGCCAGCCTACCTAGAGGTGCTCGTCCTGGTTTATCTGGGCCAGCAAGCTCCACACCCTCAATTGAGGTGCTTGATTGTGTGACACACCCCCTAGGCGTTCGCTCATTAGATGAGTGAGCGGCTGAGTATATGATAAGATGATCAGTGGGGTCTAACTAAAAAGTAGGGTTCCTCTCTAAGGTCTAAGTGTCTAAGCCTTATCTTAGAAAAGCTTTTTCCTCTATTACAACTCTAAGGCCTCTTGTATAGTTACTTTCCTAAAGTACTTTAGTTGCGTAGCCTAAAGAGCTTGTGTTAGGTAATTTAAAGGCTTGTTTAACCCTTAGGGTTTACCTAAGCTTGTAGGTTTTTTTACAGACTACTCTTAAGCTAAGTCTCCTCCTAGGATATTATAACATTAACAAGCGTTTAGTTAACTGTCTAGGAGCTTGTTTCTGCTGTTTAGTGAGAGTAATAGGGAACTATTTAGAGGGTAGGTCTAGGCTGGTGAGGTCCTTATATAAAGGAGGGGTTTCGCGCAGCTAGCTTCTCTTTCACCAGCTTGCGAGGTTATATAAACCTACAGGTCCCCTAATGTCAACAACTTCAGCTTCTTTATCCATCATGGCTGTACGTATACTTTGTTTTTGTGTTTTTGAGCGGCTGGTGATCTTTCCTTCGCTTGTTTTGGCTGTAACTGACTTGGAGATAGAGAGAATCAACTACCATGCGCGCCGCGCGCACCGCCGCCGCCACCGCCGCCCGCCGAGCCCGCCACGAGGCAGCCAGGCGCGCGGACACCTTTCAAGAGCTTCTGCTCGCTCCGCGTGCCCGCGCCCGCCCTCGCTCGGTCTCGCCTTTGGGCAGCAGTGGTTTGGCTTCGGCCAAACGAGCTTCCTCTGTGGGAGTGGAGGGCTCCTTTAAGGGTCCTTTCGACCCTCACGCTCCCCTCCCTACCCTCCCCACCACCAGCACCACCACTAGCACCAACCCCGGCGCCACAGCAGTGGGTGGGTCCCCTTCCAGGGTACCACTCGTTAGGGGCACCCGCAGGGTGATCCCCTGTGGGACTTGTGTGGCCGCGCTGCTGACGAGCAGCTCAGCTGATCTTTGTTACGACGTGGAGAACGCTAGCTGACGGGCGAAGAGGTGTTTCTGGTGCTCCCACAGGCACTCCTGCCAGGCTCTGTAAGTCTCTTTAGTTTAGAGCTGTTAAATAGTAGTCTAATTGCTTTATTGTAGCCCCTCTGCCCTTAAGCTAATTAGCTTAGAGCTGGTTAAGGAGCTCGTTCGCTCTAATAGAGTGACAACCCCTGTAAGTCTTACCCTTTAAACCTTTAATTTTGTCTTTAGGTGTTAACAAGCTTCTAGCGGTCGACTGAGCTGCGCGCCGCCTATTAGGTGGTGAAGGGGCTTGTCAAGGATGGCTACTATTCTGCCTAGATAGGTCCTGGAACCCCTGATGGTGGTGTCTGAGTTGGTGCTGGGGGTGTTGTGGTCTGTTTGTGTGGCGCTGAGCTTGTCGGCTGCCAGTAGAGCGCTCGAAAGAGCTGCCTATACCTATTGGGGGGGGGGGGTTTGTCCTCCCCAGTTTTGAAGAAATCAATCGTTTGCTCCTACTTTAACCTGCTCTTTTGTAACTCTGTGAAATATTAATATTCCTAAGGTGAGACTTTAATATCTGCTCTTCCTTAGGACCTGTTGTTATCAGCTCACTGACTAATCACTTGCTCCTTTGGAGTCCTGTTGTATATCAAACAAGTTGAGATGAGCAAGAAAGCGCTCGTGAGCCTGCCTGGGCAGCGCTTTTGTAAGCCCGTTAGCTGGCATCTCACTAGTCTTCATATAGGTGACTGTGAAGGTTCCCTTGGCGTGCTCCTGTTTCAGCCACATATTCTGAATATCCACATGGCGCAGCCTAGTGGTGAGCCGCTCGCTCTCTTCCACTACAAGCCAGATAGTTTGTTAATTATCGCAGAAGATTTCCCAAGCGACCCCTAGGTCAAGGCGCAGCTCGTTAAGGAACCGCTTTAGAGCAGTGCTCTCCTTAACCACATGCTCTAAAGCAAGCAGTTCTGCCTCTGTTGTTAATGTAGTAACTGTTGCTTGCCTGGCTGCTTTCTATATAATAGGACCTCTAAAGAGCTGCACAATATAGCCCTAAGATGATTAATAAGTTTCGCTATCATCAGCGAATAACGCGTCTCCACACATCAACAACTAGCTGCCCTAATAAGCTCTGTACCTTATACCTAGGTGCTTAGTTTAGTACAGGTAGCTAATAACTTAAGCGGCTGCTTTAAAGTAAGCAGCTCTAGGGTTAGTTAGGTGATGTGATAGTTAAGATACTGCATATGCTACATCTAGGCAGATTATAACTACATCGGGAAAAGTTTTTCGAAATCCGGCCCAGACTGGCTGTTGCTGACAGTTGTGGCATAGTCGTGCAACAGCCGTTCAACGGCCCCAACAGCCCCAATTTGCGCCCAACAGCCCTAATTTCGCGCCAACATTGCCAACAGCTAAAATGCTAAGTGCCTATATTTAATAAACTTAAAACAACGTTGCAACATTGTTGCATAGCTACCCTTAGTTCTGCTAGTACTAGTATTAAATATTTAAAAATTGCGAAATTTCATGCACAGATAGAGCGAAATTGTAGCTTCAAAATGAGCGAAAAATTATTGTTGTAGGCCTACTACAACGCGAGTTATAGAGCGTTGAAGGTTTGTTTGTTGAAGGTTTGTGTTTTGAAGTTGCGACAGCACACTATGGCAGCTGCAGCTGCGCCAGCACACAACACATCAGCTGCAGCTGCAACAGCACACGACGTAGCAGCTGCAACAGCACACAACAAAGCACCTGCTAACAAGCACACACTGCGGAACAGGCAGGCCTAGGCGTAGAATTCTTAGTTTACCTACTATTCTTAAATAATATTCTTGTATTTTCTAACATTTAGGCTGCTAGAGCCCTAGCAAAGAATCTTAACTTAGTGTCTTAGTGTTAGATGCTCGTACTGTGAGCCAGAGTATGTGCTTAACGAGATCTTAGGTGGTATAATGATATATTGATGATCGTGGCGATGGTGTTTCTGCCGTGTCGTCGTGCTGGTTGCTACAGGATTGAAGTGGGGGGGAATTAGCGCTGTTCGCGGCCGCCGGTGTGCGGGCCAATCAGGAGTTGCCAGGTCTCGCTTAATCGACCTGGCAACTGCTGATTGGCTGCACGACAGGTCCCTGCTCGATTGCGCAGATCTGACCTCTCGCTGCTTGCTCTTATCTAACACACCCCCTTTAGCTTAGAAACTCTTTAAGCTGACTGTTTATGTGTGTGTGAGGTCCTTAATTTGTTCTTGAATCCTGTCTAGAGGCACGCTGTTTAGCACTTCTGTTAACTCCCTGTTCACTAGACTAAGTTGCTAGAGGAAACCTTCCCACTTGTTCACTGGGAGTACCTTTGTGAGTCTGTCTGCTATCATGCTCGCAGACTGGACGTGTTCTATGATGATCTTTCCAGCGGCCACCTCCTGTCAGAGCTAGTAGTTGTAGATATCTACATGCTGAAGTTTAGTATGTAGTTGCAACACTTCCTTAGTGACTAGTTGAATTGTTTGTTTGTTGTTGCATTGTATTGTAATGGCGTGTACGCCTATATTGACGTGTAGTTCGCGCAAGAGCCTTGAGATAAAAAGTGCTTCTTTTGCAACCTAGGTGAGAGTGAGAAGCTTAGCCTTAGTTGTTAATGTTGTTACTGTGTCCTGCTTGTTTGCTTTCCATGCGATGAGGCTGCCAAAGAGTTTAATTGCGTAGCCTTAGGAGCTCTTTCTGTCTATAGTGTTGTCAGCGAAGGACGCGTCACTTGCTACCTGGAGGCTGATGCCTCCTCCAAGCTGCAGTGATCGCTGTTTAGTGTTGAGTAGATATAGAAGGACCCGGTCTGCAGCATCTTGGTGGCTGATGCCTGGATTGGTGAGGAACCTGGCAAGCCTTGATGTGGCGAACGCAATGTCAGGTCGCGTGGTGACCGCAGCGAACAGCAGTGATCCAATTTTGCGTTGATACTTGTTGATTTCTGCTGGCGCTGCTAGTCCACTCCTTGGCTGTAGTTCAGTTGTTGCTATTGGAGTGTCATGTCGTATAGTTGTGTTCTCAGCAAGGCGACTGATTTTGTCTGAGTACGCTGCCTGAGATAGGTAGATTTTCTTGCTTGCTTGGTCTTATATAATCTCTATGCTGAGGAACCACTGTAGGTCGTGCCCTCCTGTGCAGGTGTACTTACTCTGTACGTGGCTGATTATCTGCATTGCCTCTTGCTCTTTTAATTTATTATACGCGAGGATAATATTGTTAATATAAAAGAAGATAATAATGCCGCCCTTAGTTAGACAGCAGGGTTCGTGAGGCACAGTCTGGAAACCTAGTGCTTTTAGTGTTGCAGTGAAGTTCTTCTGCTAGAGGAGGGGAGAGATGCGCAGCCTGTAAAGTGCCTTGTTTACTTGCAGTATCGTGCTGGGCTTCTGATAGCCTCGTGGCATTCTCATGTAGACCTCTCTGTCCATTGTAGCATGAACAAACGCGTTGGTAACGTCGTATTGTTTGAGCTCCATGTTATAGTGAGCTGCCATAGCCATCATCGTTCGAAAGGATCGGCTGGCAAGCGTGGCTGCGTAGGTGTCTTGTGATGTAATATTGCGTTGTTAATCGCCTCTGACTACTAGTCGCGCCTTGCACTTTAGCAGTTAATAATGTCTATTAAGCTTATAGGTATATACCTACATGCAGTTAAGGATCTGTTGTCCTGTTAGTCTAATTTTCTAAAGTAGTACTTCTAACTATAATTTTATTTCTTAGTAGCTTGTGAGGTGCTCTTGCTTGGCTTCTTGAAAGAGTTTACCTATAGGGTGATCCTTAAGCTTGGTTTGGAACGTGGGCAGAGGTGGAAGTTGACTTTGATAGGGCTTCAAGCCTTTGGCGAGCATTCTTATCATCTTAGCCTTGTCTATGACTTCTCCTCTGTATGTTCTAACACGTCCAGCTTAGGTTCCCGCAAGGAATGATGCTGCCCATGGGACAGTAGTTGAGGACGCTTGTTGCGTCAGAGTTGTTTGATCACTGGCCATAATGCCTGCAAGTAGTGCTGCAGGTGGCGGTGTTGATGGAGGGGTAGGATAGCTATCCTGTATCTTCCGTCCGTGATAGTAGCCTGGCGGGTCTGCTTCGTCTTGTGGTGACGGCTCTGCTAGGGCTTCATCCTTATAAAAGGAATCTGTTTCTAGTTACTAGGTAGGCGTTGGTAGCTTAATAGATCGCACATGTGTTGCTATTTCTTTAAGTGTGTTGTGTATAAGGTTCTCTATAAGGTCCTTAATTCTCCTGTTAAATACTGTGTCTTTATTAAACATAATATCTTAAGTGCTTATTACCTTGCTAAGTAATAGTATCTAGATTTAATAGATGTTTGACAACTAGTAGCCCACTAGATAGCTAATCTAGGCCTTTAGGTCTAGTTGTTGAAGACGTGATTTGCCTCTGTGTGTGTTGTCTGTTATAGCAAACACTTTGCACCTGTATGCTCTTAGGTGCGTAAGGTTAGGTTTTTGCAGTAATGTCACTATTCTGTTGCTAAAGGCAACTTGCGTAAAGAATATTTTGTATAGTGTTTTCCAATAGTTTGCGTAGTTCGGCGTTCGATTGTAGAGGTATACTGCTGCCCTCGTGATTTCTGGCCACAGTTCCCAGGAGAGGTTGGCATCAAGTCGCATTGCGCGAGCTTTCTCCTTGTTCACACCCCCTGAGCGTTCTGCGTTACCGTTCTGTGCTTGTGTGTCTTGCGCTGAAGGCTCCACAATAATTCCTTGTGTTGCCAGCTATTTCAATACGCCTGGTTTGACTGTGGCTATCTCGTTGTCTGCCTTAATAGTCTTGACTAAGATGTTGTAGTGATTTTTCAAGAACAGGATAAACGTTAATAGTGCCTTAATAATTAACTTCGCTGTGCGATAATCTGTGAAGTAGAGGTCCCACTGTAGGCCTGAGAACCTGTTGGTGATGAGCATCTAGCTCTTTTCTTTAGTGACTCCTTGTACTTCGTAGGAGTGGAAGTCAACACTGAGTCTTTCTCTAGGTCCGTCATTGTTGATTCTTGGTGCGTGGCTGATTTGCCATCGCGATTTGGCTATTCCACAAGCG